TCTTTCTATTCAGGCAGGATAAAAACTGAGTAATCCAGATAATTGAGGAATTTCCATCCATTTACTGGTTTGAGTTTCTTTAAGAACATTAGACTCAGAACACATCTAGAGTTACAGTATGTTTGGGGGCTTTAGTGGAAGAAATTATTCTTGACTTTCCTTGCTGTATATCAGCATGAGTCATGAACTCTTGTGATCTAGTTATCCAATATATCTGTTAAAAACTGTGCTTATATTGTTGAAAAGAGAAATATTCCATGATAGTTTTGAGCTGTAACTTTATTTTTTTAATTAAAAAAAATTTTTTTATTGAGTTAATGATAGGTTACAATCTTGTGAAATTTCAGTTGTACATTAATGTTTGTCATTCGTGTTGTAGGTGGACCACTTCACCCTTTGTGCCCACCCCCAACCCCACCTTTCCCCTGGTATCCACTAAACTGTTCTTAGTCCACATTTTTAAATTCTTTTGAGCTCTAACTTTAAATAGAAGCTACATTGTGTGTTTAAAAAAACAATAAATACACCCAAAAAACCAACATAGGTAACAAGTCAAAAGATTTGCCTTCTTAAAATGAATTTGTGTGCAAGTCATGAAGTTGTTAATTCCTACGTTGACATCAAAACTAAAGTCAGAATTTGATTCTAGAATGTTTAGATAATACCGTATATATTGTGAGTCTAACTTTTGGTAGAACAAATTCTTTGAAAAAATGGACTCTGTCTCAATTGAAATGAGTGATTTAACATAAACAATTCTGTGGGGTAGGGGTAGAAATCAAACTAGTTTTACCATACCCAAATCTTTTTATAAGCACATTCGAGATGTCAACATGTTTGCTTTAGAAATAAAATTGTTTGATAGAATAGTTGTATTATTTTTCCCGATACTCTGTAATGAAAAACCCACGGCCCAAATTTATTTTAAGGCTCGATTAAAAGTCTTTGCTTCTATGGAAGAAAAATTATCAAATTGAAAAGGGGCTTTAGAAATTTTGACTCCGAGATTGCTTTAAGAAGGGAGAAAGGCAAGTCAGATTGGGTCTGGGCCCCACAGAATTGACCCTCCTACTTCCTGGGTTAGGAAAGCTCACAGAGGGGGCTGTGTTGCGCTGGCGGGGCCACAGCCTGGGAGGAACTAGAAATGAAACTGGAAGTGCCTTAAAGAAGCAGATGGCAGTATCAGGCTGCGTGGGGCCGGGTTGAGCAGGGAGAGACTGATTCTCAGCACAAAGCTTACGTGGTTCACCTGGCAGACTTCCTGGGAAGGTCAACATGCTCGTAGTCGACAGACCTGAGACTCAGTGGAGGAAAATGAGAGAAGAGCAAAGCGAGAGGTAGAAGCAGGGGCCTTGGGGTGCAGGATTTCAAAGAAAATTTCTGAGTCCTCAAGGGAGGCTGCGGGAAGTTAAAGGTGGAATTCTGGGGACGTTTTCCCCTCCCCACAAGCTGTGGAAGTTGAGGGTAGATGCACTTGTTAAGGTGAAGGCACCCTTATTAGAACAGAAAAGGTTTATCCCCTTGGTTTGTTTTAGCATGATAGATTTGAAGGCGTGTACCTGAGGGGTACTGTACATATTAAACCAATTTGCTGTTTTTCCTGTTTAACTTGAGGGGTGACTGAGGAGTCTCGAGGATTTGTGAGCTTGTTGTGCAGAAGAAGGAGAATGTCTTTGGGGAGGTTGCCCAGGGGTTTACCGGAGGTGACCCCTTCATTTCCCTGAAGCTCCTCCTGCAAGCCCCATAGCTCACCACCTCCACTCCCCCTAACCCCTGCCACCCCTGCTTTCTGTTCTTGGGGAGGCAGATTTGATTTGAAGGAAACCAGGCTGTCACCTATTCATTTTGGTCAATTTGAATAAATCTGTCTCCATCTCCAAGCACCAATGCCTTAGTGTTTGGTTTGCTGTGCACTGGGCACACGAATTTGAGGTTTCGAGGTTGGATATCAAGATTCCCACTACAATATTGGTGATACAAACAAAGGTTAGATAGTCTTATGTAATTTTATTATGCCTGGGGTTAAAATTGAAATTCAGGTATTTTTTTAAAAAAATGAAAACTTACGAAATAACATTGACACCTAAGAGCAACACATTTCCAGGGTGGTTTAATGGCAGTTATGTGCTGTCTGTCACAAAGAAAGGATGACACTGCTAACATGCTCTGCGTAACTAGGGCATGCAGTGCTGATGTTTTCCCCCTGGGAGTGATAGGTTCAAATTCAGAGAGATTAAAAACTCCTGCTCTTTCTGCTGGCCTCCCCCTTCCCATCCCCAGAAGCCACTCATAGATCCTCTGTGTGCAGGTGGTGGGGGTTATATGGATTGGGGTTGGGTTCATGGCTCTGAGGTGGACCAGCGCTTCTCACACTTTACTTATACATCACTTGGTTCTTGTTAAAATGCAGATTTCCAGCAAGGGCACAGGGGATGGTGAGGTAGTTTTGAGTAGCCAGTGGAGCAGTGGCTCTCCAACTCCAGCCTGCAGAATCTTCACGCGGAGGGCTGGCCAAAAGGGAGTTTACTGGGCCCACCTCCTGAGCTTCTGATTCACCTCACTAGGGTGGGGCCTGATACTCTGCATTTTAAACAAATTCCTGGGAGATGCTCATCTCCCAGCTGGGGAGAGGGGCATATTTTGAGAGCCACTGAGCTAGAGTATAAATAACCTGAGGAGAATCAAACCATCCATCTTGGCTTCTTGAGCACTCTTTTTATAATTCAACTGAAAATAGTGGAAAAACCGTTGCAGAAAGTAATAATCAATACTGTTCATGTTAACCAAATAACACCTCATAAAACAATTCTGCCAGCCTAGTGGTTTAGTGGTTAATGATACTGGTTCAATACAAAGTTGACATAAGGGAAGCCATATTGCAGAAAATAAACCATATTGTAACTTTGAATGACCTCTAATTAACTAACCCAGACATGCTCTTTACAGAGCTTCTATAGCCCCTTCCAGTTGCTATAAGTTGATAACTTTGTTCTTTTGAGTTCCTCAGGAATGTGATGACCCCCAGGCAGAGTCTATGCTGCTAGCCATCATCAATGACAACTGAAAGATCAGGGGATAGGGTGTTGCTCTGGTCTCGGATGCATATCCAGTAAACGAAAAGACTAGAGGCCTCACTGGGATTAGGTCTATTTTTCAGGGACTGTTAAAATTTGGTTGTCTGTACTACTTATCCTTCTGGTCCAATACTTGGTTATAAAATGTACTTTAGATGTTGTTCCAAAACTGTTGTGCAAGGTGCAAAATTCTAATAATGCAAAATGTCAACCTGAAGCCAGGAATGAAGGAATATTTCCAAATGAATACTAAACAGTTTCACTCCTGTAACTCAGATCTATGCCCTAATTCAGCAGAAAGTAGCTAGATGGGTCATTGCCCCGAATGCCTCAAGAATGAATAATGACCAAAGAATAGGGGGGATTGAAATTGGCAAACAGCTAGCCATTGATTAAGTAGCTAGGAGCCAAAAGAGTTTTTTCCTTTTTGCAATTACTGATTATAGCTTTTAGCTGTTTAACCCACCCGATTGTTAACTGTGCTGTTTAGACAATATGCTGTCTGACTCCCACTACGTTCCTATAAATAACATCTCTCCAGAGCCTGGGTCACCATAATAATGGATGTGCAAGCTGTTTTTCAGGAATTAGAACTCCTTGTCCGCTTCAGGCCTCTTGAGACAAACCAGCTCATCAACTGGATCTGTGCAGATGTCCAATAAATGACCTTTTGACGTTGAAAGGCTAAAAAATACACCCTCAGATCGTGCTTAACGCTGCCATTTTGTGAACGTGCATCCTATGAAGAGTCATGAAGTCTGACTACACTTGGCAGATCATCAATTACCTCACCTCTCCTCACCTCCAATCATCCATCTCCACGTTTCAGACTATCTTGCCCCCCTACCCATAAATATCCCTGAGTCCCCATTTTCAGGGAAGTGGATTTGAGACTCATTCTCTCGCTTCCTCGCTTGGCTGCCTTGTGATTAGACCGTCTGTTGCAGTGTTGGTGTCTCAGTGTTTGGCTTTCCCAGCGGTGGGCAGAAACGAACCTGCTGCAGTAACATTAAGGTTCAGTGCTATCACCTCCTGTTGCCCTGGGTTTCTTTCCCACTTAAGAGAACCACAACACCCATCTGGTTGTCATACTGCTGTGGCTGCATGTGGCTGTGATGCTGAAAGCTATGCCACCAGGATTTCAAATACCAGCAGGGTCACCATGGTGGACAGGTTTTAGTGGAGCTTCCAGACTAAGACAGATTAGAAAGAAGGACCTGGCCACCCAGTGCCAAGAAAAGTTGGCCATGAAGACCTTATGAATAGCAGCGGAGGATTATCTGGTTTAGCGCCAAAAGGTGAGAGGATCATGCAAAAGACCGGGCAGGGTTCCGCTCTACTGTCCACAGGGTCGCTAGGAGTCTGAATCCACTTGAGGGCACTAACAACAATATGGCAGGTAGCGTTTATTGAACATTTGCTATGAACCAAACACTGTGCTAACACTCTCTAGTCGTTTTCTCATTTAAACTCTTAACAACCTATGAAGCAGGTACTGTTATTGCTATCTCACACCTGAGGAAACTGAGGTTTAGAGAGTCTGGGCAACGTGTCCAAGTCCACACTTGATGGGGAGAGCTGACCCACTGCAGCCCCCAGTGTTTGACAATTAGAGCCTTGGAAATATGCAGAGGACGTCCCAGTTTGCCTAGGAACTGACGTAATCAGGGCTTTAGAGGCCCTCCCATTGCCACTCACTGGATGCTAACTCTGGTATCCCTGCTCCAGGGAGTGGCTTCTACCTCGCCTCTATTTTTTTTTTGAAGAAGAAGATTAGCCATGAGCTGACATCCGCCACCCATGCTCCTCTTTTTGCTAAGGAAGAGTGGCCCTGAGCTAACATCCGTGCCCATCTTCCTCTATTTTATATGTGGGACGCCTGCCACAGCATGGCTTGCCAAGTGGTGCGTATGGCTGTGCCTGGCATCCGAACCGGCAAACCCTGGGCCACTGAAGCAGAGTGCACAAATTTAACTGCTGTACCACTGGGCAGGCCCCTCTCCCCTATTTTAAAAAAGAGTGGTATCTGTGGCCACAAAGGTCAGAAGCCAAAGAACAGAGCCTTTCTTCTCTGATGGCCAGAACGTTGGCAGAGAAAGGTACTTCCAGGCCTGAGAATCAGAGACTGGGGAAAGCTGAGTAGTGAGGAGCTTCCTGGAAGGGTGGAAAGAGTACTAAGTTCCAGAAGGCTTGGGTTCCAGGCCCTGCTCTACTTCCAACTGGCTATGTGATCTTGGGAAAGTCCCTTCTCTTGTCTCGGCCTCACTTTCCCTCCTGTACAATGGGTGGATTTTTCTGCTAATAATCTCTTTCCTTCCCCCAGCCTCCCCTTATCCCTCCTTGCACCAACCCCCTGCCCAGCCTGGCTCTGATGTTCCAGAAGCAGCCTTGAACTGAGGTTTGAAGGCCCCAGGTGGGAGTTGCCACCCATGTCTGAGTTTTCTCCTGGGCTCTGGGCCCTGTGCCCTAGGTCCTAGGTCCTAGTAGGGTATCTGGCCTTGGCAGGTTGGAGCCATCACAGGGGAGAAAGACCCTGACCCTCTGAGAAAGGTCTCTAGAGGGCCTGCATTGTGATGACCACGTCAACTATGACATCATCCTCTCTCCCACCGTTCACTCTTCCCCAGTCAGCTGCTCTGCAAACAATCATCAGTCTAAATCCTAAAGGCCTGAAAAAGTCTGTTTTGCCGTGCCTGCCGCTGATCTTTTGCCAAAGCTGGCAAGAAGTACCATGAAATTGATATTCACTGAGAAAAACTACAACAGCTTCGTGCTGCAGAAACTGAACAAACAGAGGAAACGCAAAGAATTTTGGGATATGGCCCTGACTGTGGACCACCATGTCTTTTATGCACATCGTGTTGTGCTGGCTGCCGTCTCTTCAGTAGTGAAGAACATCATCTCTGGCAATGATGTGAAGACCACTGATGAGCTGTTTATCACCATTGACCCCAGCTACCTGAGTCCGGCCACGGTGGACCAGCTCCTGGACTACTTCTACAGCGGCAAGGTGGTGATCTCGGAGCAGAACGTGGAGGAGCTCCTTCGTGGGGCCCAGTATTTCAACATACCACACCTTCAAATCCACTGCAGTGACTACCTGATTAAGTCCATCCGCCATGCCAACTGCTTGCGCTACCTCCTCTTGGCTGAGTTGTTTGGGCTCCAAGAGGTATCGGACTTGGCCTACACTGGGATCTGCGACAACTTCCACTACTGGGCCAGTCCTGAGGGCTCCGTGCAGCCTGAGGGCTTCATGTGCTGTCCACCTGTCATCTTTGGTCGCCTGCTTCAAGATGAAAACTTGCATGTGCTCAATGAGGACCAGGCTCTCAGCGCACTTATAGATTGGGTGTACTTCCGGAAGGAGGAGCGGGAGAAGTATTTCAAGAAGTTCTTCTCTTACATCAATCTCAATGCCGTCTCCAACAAGACACTGATGTTTGCCAGCAACAAGTTGATGGGCATGAAGAACAGCTCAGCCCACACATCCCTGATTGAGAGTGTCCTTGTGGAACGACAGCAGGAGAGGCCATCCAGCCTGCTGAGCTACCAGCGGAAAGGGGCCCTGCTTGATTCGGTGGTCATCCTTGGTGGCCAAAAGGCCCAGGGCAAGTTTAACAATGGAGTGTTTGCCTACGTCATCCAGGAGAACCTGTGGTTGAAGCTCTCAGAGATGCCCTATCGAGCAGCAGCACTTAGTGCCACCTCTGCTGGTCACTACATCTACATCTCTGGTGGCACCAATGAGCAGATTACAGGGCTGAAGACGGCTTGGCGATATAACATAAATGACAATTCCTGGACCAAGTTGCCTGACCTGCCACTTGGTCTTGTCTTCCATACCATGGTGACCTGTAGGGGGACAGTGTACTCAGTGGGTGGGAGCATTGCCCCAAGGCAGTATGTCTCTAGCATCTATCGTTATGATGAGCGCAAGGAGGCCTGGTGCCCGGCAGGGAAGATGAGCATCCCTATGGATGCCACAGCTGTGGTTACCAAGGGTGACCAGAGCCTGTACATTGTCACTGGGCGGTGCTTGGTGAAGGGCTATGTCTCCCGAGTTGGGGTGGTGGACTGCTTTGACACCAATACTGAGGAGGTTGTCCAGAGTATCACCTTCCCCATTGAGTTCAGCCACCGGCCCCTGCTCTCTTTCAATCAGGACAACATCCTCTGTGTGCACAGCCACCAGCAGAGCATGGAAATCAACCTGCAGAAGACAAAGGCCAACAAGATGAGTACGTTACTGCCTCTCTTGCCCAACAGCTGCCCCCTGGATGTGTCCCATGCTATATGCGCCATTGGAGACGGCAGGGTGTTTGTATGTGGGGGTGTCACCACAGCCACTGATGTTCAGAAAAGGGACTACACCATCAATCCAAACGCCTACTTGCTGGACCCGAAGACAGGCGAGTGGAAGACCCTGGCCCCCCCACCAGAGGCACTGGACTGTCCCGCCTGCTGTCTAGCCAAGCTACCTTGCAAGATTCTTCAAAGGAATTAAACCACTTCTTTTTTGGGAGAATAATTAGATGCATTATTATCCACAATTTAATGAGAGAGAGAAGGAGAGGAAGATGGCCTGTAGGTTCCTTCTTAGTGTTCCTGTCTGTGTTTGGCCCTGAAGGTAGAGATCCTGGGCTAGGGCTGCTCTCACTGGAGAGATCCAAGCTGAGGTGGAATGGAGTTCCTGGTGGGTGGGACTGAGGCATCTCCCGGGCACTGGCCATGGTGGTGTCTGGAAACCCCCTGATCTGTCCCCTGTAGTCACTTGGCAGCATGTGCTAGACTGACAGGTGAAGCAGTTGCTTAGAGCTGTGAGGCCTCAGGCTCCTCCAACACTCACTTCCCTCGAGTCTGCCCGGGAAGGCAGGTGGGCCAAGGCCAGGTCTGGGAGAGGAGCCTCCTGGCTGGGAAGGGAGAAGGCGGTGTGGGCCAGGCTCAGGGATGAGGCAGAGGGAATGGGGGAGGCAGGGTCACTTGGCTGTTGTATTCGACCATGCAGCTGTGGTGTATTTGTGGGGCACTTGGGGGGTTACTTAACAGTTGTTTCCAGAGAGCAAGTTTCATGGAGAACTTTCTCCAGGAATATGAGTCTGAGGGACTGGAGGTGATCGAGAGGTCATCAAGGGAGAGAAAAGAAACCTGTGTCTCTCTTGGAGAGCAGCTTGGGGATGAGGCGAGATGACAGGATAAGAGAGACAGGGTGGTGTAGTAGTTAGGGGTTGGATGCTGGGGACAGATGGCCTGGCTGAATACCAGTTCCACACTTACTGGGTCATCCTGGGTGAGTTACTGACCATCTCTGTGCCTTTGTTTACTTATCTCTCAAAGGGGGACAATAAGAGTGCCTACCTCACAGGGTGACATGAAGTTTAAATGAGTTAATACATGCAAAATGCCAAGGACAGTCCCTGACATGTATTAAAGGGCTGCAGGAGTACTTTTTCAGAAGGAAAAAAAAGAGAGGCGAGGGAAAGGACCAGGTTCTTGGGCCCTTATGTTAAGTGAGGTCCCATCAAATGCTCTTTGAGACCCCTTCCCTCAAAGCCTCAGTGAGCTTTCCTCAGTTCTAACTCCCTCTGTTTCCCTTTCTGTCATGTGTGTACTCAGACATAATCCTCAGCAATTTAGAAGGAACTGACCGTGTCCTGCAACAGCTGTAGAATCCTCATTCATTCCGTCTCTCATTCATCCATGAATTTAGTTTCTCCTCCACTGCTCACTTCACACACACTCCATCATTGAGGCCTCTCTGTGCAGGTCCCTGTTCCAGGTGCTGGGGCCACAGGCGTGATAGAGACGATCCATGTCCCTGGGAGGGAGTATCTGTGCCAGTGCTTTGCAAAGAGAATATTATGCAAACCACATGAGTAATTTAAATATATCTAGTAGTCATGTTAAAAAGGTGTAAGGAAGCAGGTAAAATTAATTTTAATAATATATTGTATTTAATCCAATGTTTTCTAAATATTATCATTTAAATGAGTATTCAATGTAAACATTTATTAATGCTATATTTAACATTCTTTTTTGCATGCTAAGTCTTCAGAATCCAGTGTGTATTATACACTTAGAGCACAGCTCAGTTTGGACTAGCCACAGGCACAGTGCCCCAGGAGGCTAGTGGCTCTTATCAGACAATGCTGGATACTTTATGTATCCTGATGGTTCAAATCTGCTCTATCTCCTTCCTTTTCCCACTCCGCCCTCCTCCACCTGCTCAGAATCGTCTTCTTGACCTCTCTCTTGGCTGGCCTCTCTCTTCAAAGCCTACCCTCTGCCCAGACCTTACTTTCCTCCTTCCAGGCCAGGACCTTGGACTTCACAGCTGACCCTCTCTACCCTGGAACTTCTCCCACATTTCTCACTTCTCCAACCCTGGGCAGCCCCCTCCTCTGCTCACCTCTCTGCCATCCACCAGCTGGAAGAGCAGGGTCTTACAGATCCATGCAGCTAAGCCCAGCTGCCCCTTCCGCACCCCACCAGGCTTAGCTGACTACTGAGTCACCTCTCACTGACTCCAGAGGCCCACTCCCCAGAGCTGATTCTCCAGCCCTTTCTGGGGTCCTGGGGCCCCGCCCTTCCCCTGTCTTCTTTCTCGGCCACCTACCTCTCATTCTGGCACTAGAGCTCGAGAGAAATAGAGTCAGATGATCTGAGCTCCACAAACAGTCCCGTGTCCACCAAAACTCTCCCCAGAGCTCCTGCTATTGAGCACCTCGGAGGAAGAGGTGTCCTTCCGCGATTCAAAGCTCGTGCCTCCCCTGTGTCTTCACTCTGTCCCTTCACAACTTCTCATGCTCCTCAGTTCCCTCTCTCTCCACATCCCCTTCCCAATTCTTCTCTTCATCCCACACATATTCTCAAGTTTGCCCTATCCTGAAAGCAAACCCTCCTCAGCTCTGAGGTCTGCCTCTTGCTGTCTGCCCATCTCTTTCCTCAGTTGAGCTTCCTGAATGTTGTCTGTGCTCTCGGGTTCCAGATCAGTCTGTAACCCACTCAGCCTGGCTTCTGTTTCCACCATGCCACTCAAGTGTCTCCTGACGACACTGTCCTCTTTGTCCTTTGCTCCGCATTCTTCTTTTCCTTGCAGTACTGGGCAGTATTGACCACTCCCCCCCCCCCCCCCCCCGCAGCAGAATCGCTAGGGCGCTTGGTAGAAGGGGATCATTAGCATAGAGGGATGATAATCTGATATATTAACCAGCGTGGGCCTCCCTTCTTCCTTCCTGAGCTCTTCCCACGTGAAAATTAGACCATGAGGCTGAAGCATTCAGGGCTCATTGCTGGAGGAGGCCGGCACAGCTCAGTGTAGGAATCAGAGTCAAATTCTTGGCATTTGCTGCTAGGGAAGGTTTGTCAATTCATAGCAGAGATTATGGTCTTGAAAGACGAGGCTTTTGAACTACAGCTCAGATCTGCAAACTGGGTACCTGAAGGCCTTCCATGGGAAGTTCAGACGTGCATGGCTTTAAGGGAATCAGTTTCCAGATCCTCACGTTTTTTCCTAGAACTGATCCACCTGAGAATATGCCTAGAGATTTCATTCTAGTTCTCTTTCCCCACCTACCCTTTGAAAATTACCTTGCAAGCACTTTACACACACACACAGTAACGTTTACCCATCCCAAATCTTCCTGGATGCACTGCCCCAGGATGCCACATGAGTGTAACCGTGTCAGTGAGGCGTCAAGCACTTTACACACACACACAGTGACCTTTACCCATCCCACATCTTCCTGGATGCACTGCCCCAGGAAGCCACATGAGTGTACCGTGTCAGTGAAGCATCAGTGAAGCCTCCTTTCACCAAGACAGCAACATGCATAGAAGAGTTTCTTGTAGTTTTCTGTCTTATCAATGCAGTGTTTCAAGTCTGGTATTAAAAAATGGAGTATTTTGATCCAAGTTGGGTTGTTCAGAAATGTTAAATACCACGATGGAATGATGACATATTTTCAAAAGCTTTATTGAGATAATTCACATACCATAGAATTCACCCACTTAAAGTGTACAATTCAGTGGCTTTTAGTATATTCACCCAGTTGTATAGTCATTACCACAATCAATTTTAGAACATTTTCTTTACCCCATAAAAGAAATCTTGTACCCCTTTGCTGTCACCCTCTAACCCCCTCATCTTCCCAGCCTTACATAGCCACTAATCTGCTCTCCATCTCTCTGGATTAGACCGTTCTAGGCATTTCATATAAATGAAATCATATAAGATGTGTCCTTTTATCTGGCTTCCTTCACTTAGCATAATGCTTTCAAGGCTCATCCATGTCATAGCATGTGCACATAGATAAGGAGAACAGATTGGTGGTTACCAGAGGGGGTGGGATGGGGGAAGAGCAAAAGGAATAAAGGGTCACTCATGTATAGTGACGGATGAAAACAATGCAGTCTATACAGAAACTGACATATAATAATGCACACCTGAAATTTACACAATGTTATAAGCCAGTATGACCTCAATAAAAAAAAAATATTACCATACAGGGGTAAATCTGGCAAAAGAGCTCCAAGATCTTTATGGATAAAATTATAAATTCTAAAATATTTTTAATGATATTAAAATGAAAAGAAATATTTCCCATTCATCGGTTGGAGAACTCAGTATTAGTCCTCCTCAAATTGATCTATAGAGTCATTGTAATCCCAATTGTTAAATCCCAAAAAGAATTATTGTAGCATTTAAGAAGCTGGTTCCATAACTTATATGGAAGAACAAAGGATCAAGAACAGCCATGACACATTTGAAGAAGTATTGGGTGGGGAAAAAGGGATTTACCCTATAAGAAATCAGAACATACTATAAAGCAACATCAATTAAGGCAGTGTGGCATTGACACAGGAATAGACAAACCAACAGAGAAGAATAGAGATCTGAGAACCAGACCCATTCAGGTCTGGAGATTTCATATATGACAGAGATCGTAATGCAGATCGTGGAGAAAGGATGAGTTGTAAACACAACTAGGACAATTGGGAATACACATATGTGTTAGGAGAAATGTATAAAATATTTATAACAGCATTCAGTCGGGAAGCAACCCAATCATTCATCAAAGTAGAATGTGTGAATAAACTGTGCTGCATTCATATAGTGGAATCAATGAACTCAGTTACAGTCATCAACGTGAACGAATCTCTCAAACAGTATTGAATAAAGAAACAGGTCACAAAGAACAGCTCCAAATGGTTCAATTCATACAGAGTTTACAAAGAGGGAAATCTAAACTGTGCTGTTAGGGATGCATCATAGGTGATAAAATTCAAGAAAAGCAAGGAAATGATTACAACTTAAATCAGGAGTGGGGTTATCTCTGGGAGGAGAGAGGACCAGGAGGGGGAAGGGATAGCCAGGGAGCTTCTAACACACTGGCAATGCTGTATTTCTTAAATTAGGTGATGATTCCTTTATTGTTCTTTAAATTTAAAATATGTATTTTACATACTTTTATATGCATTTATATACGCGAATCTGTTTCACATTTTAAATTATTTTCAAAAACCAAAAGT